CCCGATGGCAAACACCGAGGGGGGGGGAAATGTATGGGGGGTGTTATTCTACGTAGACGTAGTATCATGTTCGGAAGCCCGAACGCTCTGTTTGTGCGCTTGACAATGTCTCCAATCAGCGAAGAAGCAAACCACAACAACAGCACGTCGCGTGTATGCATATGTAGAGTAAAACACGGGTCGGGTAGGCAGGGGGGCGGTAGTTCAAGTCACCGAGGCGCATTTGGACACACGGCAGAGTCGGGACTATTGGAAGAGATCCATGTGCGTCTGCACCTCTGCTTTCAAAGAAACAATGTCGCATCACGTCCGGCTCCCGTCCTCGAGTGCATTCCTTCGCTCAAGAGGCAAGACCAAAAGACATAGCGTTGGAGGCCACTCCATCCTCACAACTTCGAAGAAGACGGAAAACCGTCTACATTGTTGTTGACCCTCCCCGCTTTGACTACCGTATGTTGTTGGAGGAAACTGGAGCAGCACCCACAGGAATCAATGCGTGCGGTGTCCAACAATGTGCAAGCAAGTGGAGGACATCCGTTATCACCGACTTCGTAGTCGTCAAACTCTACAAAGAGCAGACGATTGGCACATCCAACAGCCTCTAGCTCGTCGCGGGGATTGAGGCAGTACGTGATACATATTCCAATCATCCCTACACAACGCCCTGAAGCAACAGGCAACACGCAACGCTATCAATCCAAGAAAAAGACCATCGGAATTATTGAGTCGGTCTATCAGCCGCTACTGCGTCTGCCACGACGCCGCCGCCCCCGGGCCACCGGCAGTACCCCCACCGATGCCAACGCCGGGCGGGGCCCCCGAGCCTTCCATGGCCTCCCCTCCCCTCCTGAACGCAATGTCGAGGGCCGGGTTGCTGCTCTGAGATCTTCGAACCGCTTCTTCTGCCCTTTCGTCGTTCGAGTTCGCACCAACCTGGATGACGTTGTCGTACGTCGCATTGTGCACGTACAGCAGCAGCACACCCGAAAACGTTCGTTGGAGTAAACCGGAAGGGGAGTAGACCAAACAGAGAAAAACACGAGGAGTCTTTCGTGCCGACACGGTTCCGGTACTCAATGCCGCCTTCACTCTCAGGCAGATCTCCGTTAAAATGACGATGCTTTTGTGGGGATTCCTGTTGGAAAATGGTTCCACTTGAACACCGTGCATGAGCATCGATCGCGTCAGAATATGGGGGAGTGTTCTTGCATGTGTACAGTACTGCTACGTGCACAGCGAAAATGCAAAGTCACCTCCAAGGTTTGCAGTGAGCTGCAGGCGGCCAGCCCAGGGAGAAGGATCTCCAATCCGGCACCGGTGAGGCCGTTGGCGCCGAGGTCTAGCGTCTGCAACGTACCGCCGGCCAGCAATGCCTCCAACACCAGCGGAACCCCTGTCACACGCGTGTGATGTCAGCCGGTAACATGATACTGCCTGTAGCACCCAACACGAAAAACACATCCACGCACCTTTGTAGCATACAATTGCATGCATCCAAGGCATGACAACAATCAGCGACGCAACAACACACGTCAGCACAGTCACTGTCGGAATGTATACAACAATCTAACTACGCAGCAACACGAGCGCCTACATTCCCTGGCACGGTCCGCGTCCTACCCTCACGTTTCCGTTCACATCTACTCTTAGGTACCTTCATCCTTGCAAGCGTTGTGGAATAGCTTAGCCTCCCGCAGGCCTGGAGCCGACAACACCGCCCCGATCCCGGCCCCGCCAAGAGCGTTCCCGCTCAGATCCAGCACCGCCAGCCGCGGCCCCGCCGCCTTGCCGAGCGCCGCCGCCCCGTCGTCCCCGACGTCGTTATAAGCCATCGACAGCGTTTCGAGGCGGGGGGCTCCGCCGCGGGAGAGTGCGCCCGCGACCTCTGTGCCCCCCCCCGCCCCGAGCTCGTTCTTCGAGACGTCGAGGGTTTGGAGCTTCTGCAGGCCTCCCCCGTTCGCCGGCGGCGGCGGTGGTGGCGGCAAAGGAGTCATTTCCCCGGAATCTGGCTCTGCGGGGCCTGACGGCCCGCCACCTCCCGGCAGAGGAGAAGCAGGAGGAGGAACAAGAGCCTCGGCGAGGGCGGCCGCGGCCAGGGGTCCGAGCTTCGCCTCCGCCAGAACTAGACCCGTGAGCGTCGGCGAAGTCGCCAGGGCCCGGAAGAGCGCGGCGCCGCCCTTATCTCCGAGTGGATTCCTAGAAACATCCAGGAACTCAAGGGGAGGGGGGGGGGGGGAAACGCCGCCCCCGCCGCCGCTGCCGCCGCCGTCGACCCCGCCAACGGCGCTTGTTCCGGCCGGGCGATGGGTGCATAGAGCGCGGCCGAGCGCTTCCGCGGCCGCGGCGTTGAGCTGGTTGCCAGAGAGGTCGAGACGGAGGAGGGTGGAGCTCAGGGAGAGGCCGGCCGACAGGGACTTTATCCCGGCCTCACCCAGTTGGTTGCGCCCTAGCCTTAGGTCCTGCGATTTTTATCGGGTTTAATTTCGGGACAACGAAGTGGTACGGGACGCGCCCCGTGCCTCTTCTTAGGCATCTGCGAGGAAAGATGTAGTAAATGCCGTACGGAGGCGGTGCGCACGACAATGTCATGCCCATGGCAAAAACAATAACGGCAACGAGGACCGTGTGTGCGGGGGTGGGCTGCATCACTTGTTCAACAAGAGATAACTCATTTGTTTTTCACCGCTAGAAACAACAACTCCGTACGGCAACAATTTGATGAAAAGTGAGCTATGTGGCATCATCGGCCTCCAGAAGGTGTGATCGGCCCTCTACTCAAAGAGTTAGCAGAGGCACAGCAGCCCTTGTGGGGTAACGGCCAGGGCTGCAGCTCAACATACAACAACATACAACTGCTGCGAAACAAAAGTCAATAGAATCCCTGATTTTACTACCAAGCGGCACCACGACTAATCGCCTTCCCCCATCAACACAAAACGACATTCTGGAACTTAAAAAAAAGTGGGAGAATGATGTTGGGGGGGACACGGAAGACGCGTCCGACCAATGTTTTGCAACGTCTCCTTGCCTACGGTACTACTGGTGCGTAGGTGCCAATCGACGTTTGCCGTCGCCAGCAATGTGGAGGCACATGAATCTTCCGTGCTGCAGGCGGACAAATCGGCAGCGGTCAAAGGAAGTCGACCGGTGTTCTGGGGTAACAGCTGAATCCTTTGGTGAATACATAAAAACGGTTAAGTCTGCAAACAACCAGCATGTGTGCAGGCGACAAAGCCACCCTCTGACCACTCCCTTAATTCTGTAGGTCCTCACCGCTAACGTAGGGTGTGTCTCGAGAAGGGTGCGCAGCCCCTCTCCGGAGGCAATGGACTTGTACTCGAGATCGAGGACGAGGAGCCCGTGGTTCCGCTTCAAGCCTTCCACTAGCGCGATCACGCCCTGCGATGAAACCGTTTGAGCGACCAGCCGTCATCTCACGGAATATGTCGAAAACGTTACGCAACGTGTGCAAGGAGCAAAACGTGCGCCGTTCCGTCTGAGAGAGAAACAAAACTCGCTTCAGTTGCTTCGTTGAACCAGAAAGACGAACACCGGCAGATCATTCGAACGGCGGGGGCATTGCACACAACAAGCAGATCGCCAACACGATGCCATCCCACAGAATCCCTGACCTCTTTCCTACTCCGGGACCCTCGTCTTCTGTGACACCACCCTTACCTCGTCGCCGAAATGGTTGTCCCCCACGCAGAGCGATCGAAGCGTGGTATTCCTCGACAAGGCTTGGCCAAAGGCCGACGCCCCGGCGACTTCCAAGGGGTGCCCCGAGGCGAGGAGCTCCGTGAGGGAGGTGTTGCCGGACAGGGCGGTCGAGAAGGCCGCCGCTTCTGACGGGCCGAACTTTCTCGTGCTCAGGATGCACATGGTGCTTGCCTGGAGTGGGTGTCGGCACGGAGGAAAGGAGACGGTGTTCGTGTGTCGCATGTGAACAGAAGAGTGCGACGACGTAGTGTGCGACGACGTAGTGTACGGTGCATGCTGTGGTTTCATATAGGCAAAGGGTGTTCGGGTCGTCCGCACCCCCGAATGTTACTGCAGTCCTTCAAGCGGTGCATGCTACCCGTAGCCTGTTCTCCTGATGTTGTTGGCTGCTGCCGCTGCTGCTGTGTTCCCCTGTGAAGGCTTAGGCCACACAGACATTTTCTTAAATGCGATCAACTTTGTGTGTGTGGGCCATTGGGGGATCAAAACTCACGCGCACTACGTGCACAAGGCACGGGCGCAACGCAGTAAGGCGATAAACGTCTGTGCGTGTGACCAGCACACTGTATCGGAAATCCGCATTCCATACAGCAGAAGTGCCAGCCACAAAACGACGAGATCCGGTTGAAGCAGCGTACAACCTCCACAAGGCACAAAAAACTCACAGTCCCGCCGACGGCGGCTGCCTCACGGCCTCACCGTTGAGTTGTCATTCAGCTTGGCGATGAGATCATCTACCCCACGAGGAGCTCCCCAGGCCATCAGATCGTTCCTTGGCCGCCCGAAGTGCACGCTGTTGCTTCGAGCGCGCGAGTAAACGAAAGCGAGCAGCAGCAGCCAACAGCACAAAGCGGCAAACGCCTCGTCGTATTGTTGGGACGCGCTTCTTCGCGGCCAGCTCGCGAAACTTTCTCTTTTCGAGTCGCTCGTCGCACAGCTGCTAGCAGCAGAGGTACAGGCACGCGAGAGAGGGAATAGGAAAGAGAGAGAGAGAGAGAGAGAGAGAGAGAGAGAGAGAGAG